ATCCCGCGCGGAGGATTTCGTCCCATTCGCACGGAAACCCAATTGCACGGCTCTATGCGTCATTAGCGCTGGAAACGGAGTTAACGCCGTTAAATCCGGGTCGGTCGGTCGGTCCAGCCGCGATATTATTCGCACTTGTGCCAGCCGTTCGTTCATTCGTTTATTCGGTCGCACAGATTCGTCGTCTCTACGAAATGACGACCTCTCGTGCAAAATGCGAGTGAACGATCGTTCATTCCGAATAACTTCATTTTCGTTGACTAACATTTTTTTTCTCTCTCTTAGACTTAGTTTCTCTCTCTGACTGCCTGCATCCTCTCGAAGTTTCTCACAATTCTTAGCCCCAGCATTAATTCGTTAGTGATTATCGTTATTCGTTGGTATATTGGCAGATCTGTTAAAAAGGACACTTTTTGTATCTGTATTTGCATGCAGAGTCAGAAATACAATTGTGCTAAAATTTGTGTTAAATTTAATATATTTCACTTATTCCAAAAAGACACTCAAATTTTTATGTTAATTTAATACAAAATGAATTTGTTAGAAAATAATACAATTATATAAAAATTAATACAAAAAAATGTTACATTTATGCAGGCTACAATTTATGATGCTACAAATGCTTTGAAGTATTTTTTTATTAATTATAATAATTAATAAAAATCTTTCTTATAATTGGTCAATCAAATTCCTCGAAGCATTTATAGTGTTAAGTGGACTGCACTCTTTGACACAATTTGGAAACTATGGAAATTATGATAACATATTTCTTCAAAATTAAAAGTAAAATTAATTTATTTTACTTTTAATGTTAATATTTATAATATATTAAAGTAACACATACATTTATCTTTTAGAAACTACATTATTTTTATATTATTGTTCATTTATTCATAATATAAATTGTGTCATATTTTGACATTAAGAAATGTTTAATATCAATTTAATACAAAATATTCGAATAATAAAATAATCATATTGCATTAACTTAACACTCGGATATGTTCAAAACATGACATAAAAATTTTCACAAAGATCAGTTTTAACACAAATACAAAATAGTTTTTATATGAGAAAGTATTTGTAATCTCTCCACCTTTTACATCTAAAAATTCAAAAACTAGATTTTATATATCAATAAGTTCACAGCGAATGTAAGAAATAATCGCATCGAATTTAACAAAGATTGGGAGAGTCTTGATAATAATCACGATTCGAGAATTACGCGTTTTGCGTAGTATAAGAATAAATTTTTCTTACGCCTGAAAAGTTACTGACGAGAAATTTTATTTCCTTTAACATTCTATCAATATCGAATCTCGTCGCTTTACCAATATTTTTCATGGCTTATTCGGCAAATATTTTCGATCTACAATACACGAACTAAAAACTGGGTCACTTTACTGATGCAAAATGGACCACTACGCAGAAAGAGTACTTCAATATTTTTACATTTACTAGTGAATTCACAAATGTGTAAATAACTTTTGTGGATATAATAAACGAATGGATATAACATGATGAGCCGTTAAACGCACAATACTTCATATTCGATAAAAACAAATGCGTTTATTACGCGCGTCCTTAACATGTTTATTTTAATCGTATGCATTTAATTAAATATGTCATAATTTGTTTATGGATACCCGCATGATTATATACGTTGTTTACGAACCGCGAATTACAGTCGTGTATTCGCTACATTAACAAATTGCTTTTTCACTAATTGAAAGATTACATCAGCTGCAGATCATGTGTGAATACAAAGGATAGTTCGTTGAAGTAAACACAAATACCCCGCGAAGTAATACCACTGTTTGCTTAGTGCTTTACTTGTGCGTTTACAATTAATTAATTTGATCACCACATGTTCCGTAATTAGCGTAAGTGTTTGGATACAAATCCGAAACCCGTCGACGTGCGTAGTTAGATAAATTTGAAATAATACGACTCGCGTAACGCTACAATTATTCTCTCATCTAGTTCATTGCTCAGATTAATTGGCACAAAATTAATCGATTGTATTTGCGAGACTTATACATTGCGCGGCTTTTAACGTAAAAATCACAAATTTTTCCAGAAATTCATTCCGACTCTCATTCTGCGCTTAATCCAGTCTCAAAAGACAAAAGTATGAAAGTAAATGCTAATGTCAGATTCGCGCGTGTTTACACAGCTATATATTTATCTTATTCTCCAAAATTATTATGAGATCGTAACTTTCTTGGAATATGATATATTAAATTGTTATTTTTCTCTATTAACTGGAATACATATTAAGGAGAGCTCCTTCAAATATTCAAACAAGACAGCTGCATTTATGAAAAGTAAATTAAATATCACGAAAAACTACACAATCGATAACGACGTGCTCGCGGTAATATCATTCAACGGAGAAAACTTATATTAGTTTTGCGAACGGAAAATATACAACAACGAGAGGGATATTTTATCCGGATAAAATTGCATTTCTCGATATCAAGTTTTCTTTGATACGTTCAAAAGCTTCAAGATAGTTTGTAAAAAGGTACGTTGCGAACTATAGATTATTTTTTTATGCCCTTTACCTGGACGAGATAATAAAATTTTAAGAAAGTTATCAAGTTAAACGCATAATAAGACATGCCTTACGGCACTTTTTCCTAGTGCTTGATTTGCGCATTATACAATAACGACGAAATCCAGCTGATTCACCGAGATCCTCGCAATCGAGCAGCGAGCTTCGTGCTTTTGTATATAAGGAACTATCATTCGCATTTCAATGCTGGTCGCGTCTCTCTCATGACGAGGAGACGCGACGAGGCTTTAAGTAATATCGATATCGATGCGAAAAGGCGGGCGTCGAACGCGAAAGAAAGAAGGAGCGCTCGAGACAGAGAGAGGGTTGGGAGGGTGGAGATGGAAGAAGAAACGAGCGTTGCGAATGCATCGATATTGAATTGAAAATGGATCGCGCGGAAAACGGAGAGGAAGAAGAGCTCTGCTTCGGCGGCGAATATAACATAAATATCCTCTTTCCTTCTTTCCTGTCTTGCGCCTTTCATTCCCCTGCTTATTCACCGTTTATACATATTATGAGCTTGAAAATGCAGATATCGCAAAATGTTATCCTTGCTTCCTCGAAACGATTATGCGACATTAAATTAATCTTTTCGCGCTGTTTTTCTCCACTCTTTCATCCCCCCGTTCCCCCCCCCCTCCCCTATGCGGAACAAATCAATTTTCTCTATATCTGTCGGCTCAATTTCTATCTCAGCAAAATCTCGCCCTTCTTCCTCGGCCTGGCCGCGATAATAAAACGGTTGAAGGATGGGGCGCGGTAATGCTTTTTATTAAGTTTTCCTCGATAAACGTACCACTTGACTGTCGCGGATGCGACTTCGCGACTGGAGGTCTTCGGGGAATTTTTCCTTTACGCCGAGTTGCGCACGAGGACGATTTAGAAATACAGGATTATTAATTTCATGAACACTCAAAGGAGAAAAGAATCCAAACGAAATTCACTCGGGGTCTCAAGAGAGACGTTTTTCTTTCTCCTTTATACGATTATACTTTTATTTCCCGACGAAATTACAATATAAATTATTACGATACGTAATATAGCTATATACGATAGAAGTCGTTCCGTAAAGGTATATGTTTGTTTAAGCAAACGAAAAAATAAAATGCCCAAATAAAATAAAGCAGTTTTGTAAAACCAATTGCCATTTTGCCACGGAACGATGTAATTAAAACGAAATTCTTGTGCGTATACAAGTTGGCTTCGAACCTCCGTTTTTCGTCTCTCGTTCCCTTGAAATTTTGCCGTCTGTTCCGCGCGTGTTTGCCCGTACGCGAGTTTCAGATATTCCATTACGACTTGCGCTCCGAGGTAAATATAAAAATGCTTCCCGTTCCTTCCTGCATGTTTTACCTTTCCGCGCATAAATCAGAAAAGAATCTCGACATAACTCCCCGAGATCGGTTTCGGGTTAAAGTAACTGCGCAAACTTGGACAGTCGTACGTCCCCTTTTATCTCTCAAACTGTGCAATAGAATTTTGTTCAGCAATACGTAAACGCTTTGTGAGATTGTACACAGCATTATAGTAAAGTAGTTAAGTAGTAAAAGCGTATTACATATCGGACCTCAATTCATTAGTCTCGCTAAGAGTGTTTAAGCTATTTAAACATTTAATCACAAATTAGGCGCAATTAAAATACGTTTTAAAAGCCGATGTGATATAATTATCGTCAATTAGTTGGCAAAACAATTAAGTAAGAATTAATAATATCAGGGTATATACGCTTATGTAAATTATGATATTTCCTTACTTCAAAAGTAATACAACTCGGTAATATTTGAGTCAGTACTATAAATGAATTATAAACATTACCCTATCAATCATCAAAAGTAAACTAACTTAACTTCATAAAAAATTGTCAGTACTGAAAAAAAGAGTGCTTTAAAAAAAATCGTTAAAGTCGTCAGAACTCAAAAAAGGTGATTTTTTTTTAGGATGAAATTGTGAAAATAACATTTGACTATGTTAAAAATATATCTTTTTGCCAATATTATTTGATTAGTCAATAATTTTCCGTCAAGTTGGAAAATTGTTTTTCCTCTTTTCTGGAAAACTAAATATTTTTTAAATTCTGTTACTTTTGAACTAAGAGCACTGTAAAAAGTGCAATGTTTAAAATGTTCCGTTTAAAACATCTTTGCAAAACAAAAGTTTAATAATAAAAGATACATTAATTTTAAATGTTTTAGTGTTTTAAATCCAAACACATAATGTTTTGTTTATTGTGAAAAGTTTAAAACTAAAACATCTTTAAGCGTTTAAAAAACAGAGATAGGAATAAAACATTTTTATATCTTAAAATTAAACACTTCTTTTATGAGTAAGAGCAATCTATTTATTTAAATATTTGATTTATTTACATTACTATTTGAAACATTTGAAATCAAACAATTTCTGCGTGCTTTTGCAACTGATAGAATCTTCTTTTTTGTTACAGGCGTTTCTTGAAATGGGGGACGAGAATGCTGCGGCAACCATGGTGAACTATTACGCTACCGGCGTGGCTCAACTCAGAGGTAGAGCAGTCTACGTGCAGTTCAGCAATCACCGTGAACTCAAGACGGATCAAACGCACTCCAACAACGCGGTCAGTAGCCCAACAAATGATGTCGCCAACACCTCTGAGGTCTGTGTCATACTTCTCGCTTCACTTCTTTCTCGCTTCACTAAACTTCGGGAATGGTCGCATGAACTACTACGCTATTCTCGCCGAACTAACTCTTTCGATCTTCTTCTAACACTTACTTGCTTTTTTCCTTTTCTATCGATGACGCAGATACCTAAAGTGATGTTGAACTTTATAAACTAATAGACCAAACGACACATATACATAGACCAAGTGTTCTGTTCATAGCTTGAAGATGCAGTTTAACTAGATCCGTTGTTCTCTTTCTATCTTGAGAAAGAGAGAGGAGTGTTCTTGACAGTCGCAGGTGTGAGATGGATTGAGATAACACGGATCCTCAACGGTCACTTAAACTGTCAATTTCTGGCTTCACCTCCCACCACTGAAAAACATGAGAATGCTTAATCTATGTACATATGTCGTTGAAATAGACACGTATCGTTTAATCGTATTAAAATTACATATTTTGTAGATAATAAATTTTTAGTCGATGAAAATTGACGTAATAACGTTATACTGAAAAAAAATTTTATAAAATGAAAACGCACTAACAAAAATGACATTTTGATTAGCGAAACCAAATAGAATTTCTTTTATCATAATCAAAAATTCTATTTGGTCTCACGCATAGACGTAATAAGAATAAAGATACACGGCCGGTCTCATGTTATTCGCGGCGTGCACGCGTGCTCTTGGCGCCAAGACATTACCGTGTCTCTTGATAGATAGACGTACATTCCTATAAAGTTATTCTCTCGGTTTAGAAAGAACAAAGTAATTTGAAACATATCGCTCTCTCTTTCTAAAATATCGAGTTATAGAGAAATGCTCAATTTTTTTCTAACGGAGTGCAGATGTCAAGAACAGATAAGTTGAATTAATTGAAATTCTTGTTGAAAATGGACGAATCAGAATTTTCTAAAAACTAATTTTTGTTAAATCTAGAATTCTACTTGAGATAATCGAAATTCTGATATAATCAGAAACTTCTAGTTCGTCTATTTTTCACCAGAATTTTTCTCAGTGTATCTTCTATGTCTGTGGATTTCATCAAAATGCCATTCTTGTTGATCTACGTTTTGTCAGTTCAATCTAAACATTTTCCTCAGTTTCGCATATCTGTGAAGCAAGGATACATCTGTCGCTTTATGTCCCGTTGATACGGTGACTTCGATGCCTCGAGGTGTTAGCCGAAGGCGGGCAAGCATGAAACTAGAGGATCCTGTCAATACAATAGTTGTTACGTGTATCAAATTAGTTTCGACAATATGTTGTTTATGCGGACTAATTAATTAAACCGATATCTTTGCATATATCTTTAATCATCAGGTCCAAAATGCATATATAGCGCGCATGACCATGCGAGAGCGGGTGGAACGCCATGGCCATTTCGTCGTCAAGTCAATCTAAACACTCGCGTCCGCAAACTCCGTTATAATTAATGCGTCCATAATTTATGAACGATCCCTCGGGCGCAAACGGGCGCAACGGTTTATCCCGCTACACCTCGCCAAACCCTTCGTCTACGTGACACACGGTCGTGCATATTACTTGTAACTTGCGTGTGTCATCGTGTGCTGCCGGTCATCATCGGAACTAGTTAACTCACTGCGCAATTTGGGGCCGCACCGCCGTTTCGAATGAAATTTGTCAACGAATTAATTAGCACCCGAATTGAACTGATGAATCAATTAACGGAATTCAGTTAGGTATACTCGCGTCAATAGTTACGTTCCGAAGACAAAGCCGTTCACTGAGAACTTAGTGATTCTTTATTACGATTGATTTGTATATTTAGATCTACAAAAAATCTAACAGCAACAAAGAATCAATTGTATTAAAGAACTACCGCTTGCTGAGCGATCTTCTGAACGCAGCTATTGTGTACGCACTGTGCATACCAATTTACGTTCTACGCTATTATTAGACGTGTTCAAGTTTACAAAGTAGCTGTTTGTGATTAAACATGATTAGTTTTCATTTATAGACCCAATAGAGAGCCTATAGGAAAGAGGCGCCAACGTGACCCTAAGCAAGAATTACTTTAGTCAGTCTCAGATTTTTTGCTTCTGAGCAAAAATGACTCCAGCCAATTGCAGATCATGATACTTCTAAGCAAGAATTACTCTAATTAATCACAGAGAAAATCACTTGACTCTGTTAGTGTCCCTCTCCCTTTAGACTTTGTAGATCCAATCAATCACAATCAATCGTAAACGGGCTAATAGCTTCATCCGGTTTGAACTCGGCTATTATATTCGCTCTGTCAAGTCAAAATTAACTCACATCTCTCTTTATTACTTCTGAAACAATCTATGGATTTGTTGACTCAAAATGATCAATGTGGAACGTTTTCATTCGGAAATCCAGTGAGAACAAAACAGTGATGGCTTCGAAGCGCGTGCTCGGCGAACCCATGCCGTGACATGTCATATTGTCTTCTCACTGTCGCCTTTCAATTCCACCGTGGGAGAGTCGAGAGCGACGTCGAGCGAAGCTAGTATTATCGTTAACCAGCCCCGCCAATTCGCGTCGTCGACGTCGTAACTCCGTAAGTTTCCCGATGCCATCGTGTCGGTCTGTCTACTTCCCTCTCGAGGACATCCCTAGTCCTCCCTCCTCTGAGTTACCGAACTACCGTTGCCACCCTCGGGGGCGCAACTTCGCGGTGGAAACGGACACCGATCCCACGGGGAATCCTTTGCGAAAGTTTCATGTGTATATCGGGACGGGTGGAAAAGAGGGAGGGTGCGAGGTGGTGATGGTCTGCACGAAAAATAATAAATAAGGGAGTAAATAGCCCGGCGACGCGCTTCGTCGCCACCGATGCTTTTTCTTGACACGTGGAAACTTTCCGCATACGTGACCGTGGAAACTTTACAATCCACGATTTACAGGATCGCGGTTGCTCTAGAAATACGAAATTCATCGTATTTCTGAGAAATTTCTGTTATACGCAAATCTTATGTTACCTCCTCACGATGTCATTAGTGCTTCATTAAATGAAGGCGATCGTAAAACGCATGGAACGAGAAGTTGAAATGACTTTTTTTATGTACACTTAATGTATACTTTCTTTCATACGCCACGCAAGATTCTACTTCCAGAAGTCGTTTCCAACTTGCTTCGTGAAGATTTAATTTTTTTTTAATTTTTTTATGTATATCTGTAAGCACATTTTACTTTCATGATGTTCACTTCAAGCAAGGAAATATTATATATTTGCTAAATTTACTATCGCTTATTCATTCGTATTATTAAATAGTTGATTTAACGTATATTAAATTCTGAAAAAGAAAAATTAATTGCTATGTTAAAAATAAACATCTAGAATTTATATTTAATGTAAACTGAAAAATATACGTACGTTTAAAGTCTTTCTTCAATTATTAAGATAATACTGTTGTCAGAGAGATAAAACTATTTATAGCAAACATTAAAATAATTCTTAATTGTGACAATAAATTTTTTTCAAAACAGAAATGATATTTCCGCGAATCAAGAAAGCATTATATTCATATTAATTATTCATTCTAGAATAGAAGAATGCTCAAGTACTAATTTTGTTTCTGTTCTAATTTCCGTTCTAAATTAAAAACTCGAATGCAGTCTATGAATAAAGTACATACATTTCTTCAAGCGTTTTTAGCAAATCGTAATTTTATTATCAGAACGTTTTTGTAGCTCAAATAATTGCAAATATCTCTATTCGGCCTTTCTGTATTTATTTGATTTATTCATATCGCGATCTAATATTTTATTATCGTTTATATGCGTTGACCTTTCAATACGTTCTTTCCTTATATATACTATAGTTATTGCGATAAACATTATTACATACTTCAGTAATCAAATTGGAACTTTTTCGAAAGATCAGGAAGTTCCAGATTCAAACCTTGGCTGGGATAATATTTTTTTTCAATAAGTTCTTCGCAGTGTGTTTTAAGATGCTTAAGAGCATCATTATTAAATGAACTATCAATTTAACGATATTAAATTTTAGCTTCAGTTTATGATTGCAAGTCTGGCAGTATTCGGCGTGCAGTTTATATAACTGAAAGATATATTTAAAATTTACACATAAAATATTAATAGACACAAGTTCTAACCTTGAGCTTTAGCCTTTCTAAATATTTATCTGATTTAAACATTCCGTTCGACTCTAAAATTAATTAAACGCTGATACTTGTATATAAAAGCGATATTAAAATTATCCTTACATCTTTCTTGGGTAGAAAAAAAAGAAAAAGAAAGAAAACGTGATGGTGCTTCCATGGGGAATGCAAAGATGCTCCGCGGAGGGTTTCACGGCGCGTTCGCTTCGTCTACGGTCGAATGATTTCTCGCCGAGCGTCCGGACTGACAAACGACACCGAAAAAGCAATCGCCGTGAAAGCCTCAGCAATGCACTGCTCGTGAGGCATCGGCCTCTGTCTCTACGTGGGCGACGATGATGCCGGAAATTTTGCGATCCAAACACAAGACAAACGTCGTGCCAGCCTTCGCGTTCACCCGCTTGGAACAAGAAATCAATTTTGTATGAACAAAGGAACAAATCTGCGACGACGGCTGTCATGAAACGTCAGCTTGATGCCTTTTACTCTCGATTAAAATATTATGCATTTTTAATGTAGGACGAATGACTTATACGAATCACATCAGTTTCTTCATTCTTATATATACAGGGTGTTTCCAAATTAAATCGCAAAACTTCGGGAGCGTGTAGAGGAGTAAAAAACTAAGAAAAAAAGTCCTATAGACATATGCTCGTTTTTGCTCCGTTTCAGAGAAATCGAAAAAAAATGTTTTTTTTACCTGCAAGATTAAATGGGGACCGTTTTCTAAATTTCTTGGAGAATGAATTTTCTGACTATTTAGAAAACATCCCATTACAACAACGTACTGAAATGTGGTTTCAATTAGATGGATGCCCTGCTCATTACAGCAGAGTCGCTAGAACCTGGTTAGATAGAAAATTCCCACAACGATGGATTGGACGT